GAAAGTGTGAAAGTGACTCCTTATTCAAAAGTATGGGGGGGCAACCCATTTTGTGCCGTGCAGGGCTGCCTACCCCACGACCCCGCAGGCGCCATGCAGGTGGGCAGTTCTGTTAACTCGTGTGCCGTGCGGCACTTTCCGCTCCCGACCCCGCAGGCACTCTGGTCGCAAAAACGGATTTGTGTCCTTGTTTACGGCAATTTTTCTCTGTAAACTTTGCGGCATCTGTCTAGATAAACTGCACACCACCTGACCGCCGGCCATCCATTTCGGCCAGGGCCGTGGGAAGGTCCGGGAGGCCTGAGCAGCATCTAGAAGAGTTAAATTCGGGCGCACCAGCGCCGCATTCTGGCCTATCCTAGATGCTCTACCGGAGTACAGGGCGCGCGGGGAAAAGAGAGGCAGGGGGGAGGGGGGACATAGACATGCTCACCACGATGGCCGCCACCATTAGCATGCCACTGCAGAGAGCTCGGAAGGGGGAGGGGAAGAGGGGGTCAGAGGTCAGGCTGTGCACGGCGACCAGCAGGCGGAGGGGGGCGCGCGGGGAGGGTGTTCGGTGCCTGCGGATTCCTTTTTGGAACGCAGCAGCAGCCTTAATGCGATCTCTCTCTCTCTCTCTCTCTCTCTCTCTCTCTCTCTCTCTCTCTCTCTCGTAGAACTCTCTCATCCTCCCTGTGCTCTTTTCCTACCACCCTCTCATTCAAAGCTGCTTGTCAGTCTGAATGAATGGTGTTTGTCACCCGATCTCTCTCTCTCTCCACCTCCAGGACGTACCTCTTGCCGTGGCCGCCCTCGACGCTCGCCGCCAGCAGCACGACCGCAGCCAGCAGGACCCACACGCACTGGAACACAGTCAAAGAATATAGCAAACGGTGATTGATTGCGACGGTCACTGTAAAAACTAAGCTCTCTAAATTTAAAAACAGAAAATTGCACTTGACAGTTATTTACAAACTGCAAATGTTAAGGAAAATTCAAAAACGATACGGGGTCTCTTGTCAATTCCGCAAATTTTAAATATTAGATTGAAACTTTTACAAATTTATGTTCCATGGACATTTTTTTTCTTCGTAAAACGCGACGAAGAGTTTTTCTATCAGCCACAAGCTACGTTGAGTGAACCAACAGCCTAGATGTGTGATCTTGCTATGGACAGCATGCCAAATATGATGTCTATACTTCTATCTGTGGCATGGCACTTTTGTTACTGCCGGTCTCTCTGTGGCACGTGACCGGGCGGGCGCGCGCCGCGTTTGCATGGCCGGCCCCAGCTGCTCTCTCGCTGTTGATAGTCTTTGAGGAGGCGCGCGCCGCGGCGTCATAATTGTCGCCGTCCACTTCAGGCTGGACGCCGCGCCGCCCCGCCCCGCCCCGAAACACCGCAAAAGTAGTGAAAGTAGTGAAGCCGGACAGGGCGGGGCGGGGCAGGGCACCCCGAGTCCGATTCGGTAACGATTCGACCCATCATTACTGTGGGACAGGACTCGAACTGACTGACTACTGACCGATGGAGTTGTTCTGTTGTTGGCGTGACATGTCTTAGCTCTGTGGGAAGAGTATCCTCTTCAAGTATTTAAGAAGCTTGTGACATTATTTGGGGTTATGCACTAAAATAATTGAGAATCGCCATTTTGTGTGACTAACAAAACTTTTATACATTTTTCTTATTTATCACAATTTTTACATTTTGGTTACTTTCCACTGTCTCACTATATTTTAGCTATTCATCTAACGTCTTGTATATTTTCATTTGACTTTGTCACGCTCTGTTTGACGAAAGTAAATTCTATATGTTGAAACCTATGCTCTTTTATTTTTCTCGGGCCGCGGGCAGTTCGTGTTCCGCGTCGCCCTGTCACGGTGTCACGGGTTGTTTGTTTTTGGCGACGTAAGGGAGGTAGAGTTGTTGAGAGATAGAACTAGGCTATGACCGTAAACCTGAATAGCGCGAACGTTTTGCTTTATGGTCCGTGCCGGGCCCCTGGGGAGTCGCACGGGGCGGCCGTAAACGTTAACGGCTCCC